GTGTCGTGATGTGGTCGTACTAGTGTCGTGATGTGATCGTACTAGTGTCGTGAGGTGATCGTACTAGTGTCGTGATGTGGTCGTTCTAGTGTCGTGATGTGATCGTACTAGTGTCGTGATGTGATCGTACCACTGTCGTGAGGTGATCGTACTAGTATAGTCATGTACAAGTGACGTCGTTACTTAATCGTAACAGTGTTTTCCATACATGACCCTTAAACTAAATAACTGAGAATCGTATATGCACGGAGAGAACACAGGTGAACAATCTGTGAGTGAAATTAATAGTAATTATTTGACAGGATGGTGTTTAATAGGCAAGTCAATAATTCTGATTTAAAGTTGGATGTTTTACTTTCAGGACAGTGCGGAGTATCGCCAATGTCACGTGTTATTGGAGGAGTGGATGCTAAGCCAGGAAGCTGGCCATGGCAGGTAATAATAGATGTAGAAGCTATTCATATCTATTTATAATCCTTTTAGTAACACTGAATCCATTCATTTGAAGATTGGTCTTCATCGCAGTGGACGCTTCATCTGCGGAGGTTCTCTAATTCACCGACAATGGATTGTCACGGCTGCTCATTGCGTTACACAAAGGTAACATGCTTCTGACAAATCATGTTCCAACTTAATGATTGCGGATCTTAGTTCACGTATTATGAAACTTGAAGGGAAGGAAGAAGAGAGAATGAGAGCGGAACAAACGTAGGGAGACTTCTATCTCACATTCTCCCGTCCGAAGGGGCAAGCTGCGAAGGACTAATGAATGCTGTCTTATACATTAATGATAAATTAATGATTTCATGATGAAATTCCCCCATTACATACATTTTCAATTTTGTTTTACAGCAGTCCAAGTTTGTACACAATTCGYCTGGGAGATCACAACCGTAATGTCAACGAAGGCACAGAAGAGGAAATCAAAGCAATAAGAGTCATTTCTCATCCAAATTATAACAATCCAAGACTCAATAACGACATCGCTTTGATTCAACTTGCCAGACCAGCAACGCTCAACAGTCATGTTGGTCTCGTGTGCTTGCCTGATCAAGATTATGTTCTTCCTGCGGGTTCCAACTGTTACATCACAGGTGTGTTTCTGGAAAATATATATTCCTGCCTCTCTTAAAAAGATATTTCTCACAAAAAGATTTGATTACGATCAGGTTGGGGCAAGATCAAACACCCTGGCGGATCTCATCATATTCTCCAACAAGCACAGATGCCTCCTGTCACCCTGGCTGAATGTAAGAAGAAGAATGGTAACATTGGAATCCAAGTCAATGACAACATGATCTGTGCAACCAAGCGTAATACGATCATAAGCGGTTGTCATGGTGACAGTGGTGGTCCATACGTGTGTAAGAACAGCGCTGGTCGATGGGTACTGCAGGGTGATGTCAGCTGGGGGTCTTCCAGTTGTAACATCAACCAATTGTACACAGTCTTTGGAAGAGTGGCCAAATTCAGAAACTGGATCAATTCATACATTGGAGGTAATTTATGGACGATTTCCGACACTGCCGCTTTCAAAATTATCGCAGGATATAACTCCTTTGAAAAAACATGTTGCTACGTGCAAATTGAATGTGTGAAAACTTAAAAGAATAACCTAATGATGATGCATCATTTAATTCCATTGTTGATTTGCTTTCTATTTTCATAGCAGTTCCAACTGCTCCACCGTCGCCTCCACCACCATCGACTCCACCGTCGCCCCCACCACCATCAACTCCTCCAACACCACCTCTGCCAGGTAAGCAAGTACAAAAAAAGAAACGACTTATCACCAAAAAATTAGACTATGGCGAATGGGGATTGCATGATCGAATGCTTACATAATCAGATATACATTCTCAGTTATTAAGTTAACTCACTGTGACGCTTTTCACTAGTGAGGTAAAGACGAAGAAATAGACACACGAAGTATTCGTATTGAATGCTGTTTAGCCATGACCCTTTAAACTAAATAATGTGAATCGTATATAGAGTATGCACGGAGACAACACAAATCTATCAACGAAATTAATAGTAATTATTTGACAGGATCGTGTGGATCGAAGCCATCAATGACCCGCATAGTTGGAGGAACACAGGCCAAAGTGCATGCTTGGCCATGGCAGACCATGCTTACCAGCTCAAGTGGTCGTCAATTCTGTGGAGGTTCCCTCGTCCATCCTCAGTTCGTTGTAACAGCAGCACATTGTATAGTCAGGCAAACACCGTCCACCATGAAAGTGAAGTAAGTTATAGCAAAACTAAGTCAGAGAACCTTAGAGTGATTYCCACATATATTTCTTTGCTTTGCTTCGTCCACAAATGCATTCTCGTCCATCTACCAACCGATTCCATTCAGTCTACAGTGGTTTGGTAAATCTTCCATCTCATGTTCTTTCATATATTCACTCAAGTCATTTAGTGTATGCCTTCACCTGTTCTTTCACTTATTCGTTCATTCTGCACATCTATCTCGTTCATTATAACAGCTGATAATCCACTATCCAAATCATTTTTGTTCCAATAGACTTGGAGCTCACTACAGAGTCAGTGGATCTACGGGAAAAGAACAGATTATCAATGTTGCCCAGATATTCGCTCACCCTCAATACCACAAACCCAAGCAATACAGTAACGACATCGCGGTCCTTAAACTGGCTCGTCCTGCTGTCTTGAATAATGCTGTTGGAACCGTCTGTATGCCAGATGGCAAATTCCCTCTTCCTTTTGATGACCTGAACAAGAAATGTTTTATCACTGGATGGGGTACGCTAGCATCTGGAGGTTCTCAGCCAAACGCATTGATGCAAGCATCAGTTCCYCTTGTATCAAACAAACGATGCAATGCCCCAGCAGCATATGGTGGAAAGATTSRCGATTCCATGTTGTGTGCGGGATTAGATGCAGGTGGTGTTGACGCATGTCAAGGTGATTCTGGAGGACCGCTGGTCTGTGAGTTCAACGGGCGCTGGTACCTGGAGGGAGCAACCAGTTGGGGATACGGATGTGCTCGTCCAAACAAGTACGGCGTCTACGCTCTTGTGCGATACAACCAAAAGTGGGTAGAAACGATCGTTCAGACAGGTACATGACATTCAAGACGRGACCCATTCCTTATGACGTCATTAATAGTAATAATTTTACGAAAGAAAGCCATTCATTTTACATAAAAAGTCATAAACACATAAGGCATAAGCTTTTTTTAGCAGAAGATACATAACGTGATTTTATTGTTATAGGTGCACCACCACCAACTACACCACCACCCACTGTCGCACCAGGAGACATGTCAACTGATTTCACAACATTTGGAAACTGGCAACAGGACAAAAGTGACAAGTTTGACTGGACATTGAGAAGTGGAGGCACACCMTCTTCAAGCACTGGACCTAGTGTTGATGTAAGTGGATCAGGTAAGTATCACTTATACCAGCAACTTACTCCAATTTTCGGAAACGGCTGTTGAGATTTTATAAACATTTCACATTTAGGAAATTACGCTTACATCGAAACATCAAGCCCACGTGTGAATGGCGACAATGCGAAACTGGTCTTCAGAGGATCTTACAGTGGAGCCATGTGTATGACCTTCTTTTACCACATGTATGGAGCAACTATCAATACACTGAGGGTCTTCAGTAATAACAACCTCGTCTTTACAAAGACAGGAAACCAAGGAAACGCCTGGTACAACACATCCGTAACCTTGAATGGAAATACAAATGTAAGAAGACTCGAATTATTGTAAAATTCTACTAATAACTGTAAAATATTCATCTAGCCACGCTATCTTAAAGATTTCAGGTTTATTTGTTTGATGAATTTGGATATCTTGATTATGAGGTTCTGTATTTCTTTAGGTCGTTATTGAAGCTGTTGCCGGCACCTCTTTTACAGGAGATATCGCCATTGATAACATCAGTGTTGTTAAGAGAGCTTGTGGTTCTCCAACTTGTAAGTGACGGCGTTTATTGTATTTTAATCATAAACAAAGTTTTAAAGTACATTCTTTCATAAAACATTCATGCTTTTCATTTCAAATGAAATTATTACTTTCTTTGCATACAGCTCAGCCAACGCCTCCTCCSCCATCTACACCTCCAACTCCTTCGCCTTCAGTCCCGACTCCAGGTAAAAAAAAACAACAAAAAACAAATAGTGCACTGACTTTTAAGTAGGCTTAAAAACTGTGAAGATTGTACAGCTAGGTTAGTCAATAATTCTGATTTAAAGTTGGATGATTTCACTTCCAGGACAGTGCGGAGTATCTCCAATGTCACGTGTTATTGGAGGAGTGGATGCCAAGCCAGGAAGCTGGCCATGGCAGGTAATAAAAGATGTAGAAACTATTTATATCTATAAAGCTTGGTAATYTTTTCATTGACTCTGAATCCATTCATTTGAAGATTGGTCTTCATCGCAGTGGACGCTTCATCTGCGGAGGTTCTCTCATTCATCGAGAATGGATTGTCACGGCTGCTCATTGCGTTACACAAAGGTAACATATCTCTGGTCAAATCATGTTCCAACTTAATGATTGTCGATATTGAGTTCCGAAGCTTGGAGGGAAGGAAGAAGAACGAATCGGAGCGAAACAAAATTTGTGGGAGGTCGTCTATCTCACATTCTCCCGTCAAATCCCAGTACAAGAGCAATCTGCGCTGTCTTATTGAATGCTGCCTTAGATATGCATTATGATCAATTAATTGATTTAATGATGAAATTCCCCCATTACATACANAGTGGAGCCATGTGTATGACCTTCTTTTACCACATGTATGGATCAACTATCAACACACTGAGGGTCTTCAGTAATAACATAAAAGTCTTTGAAAAGACAGGAAACCAAGGAAACGTCTGGTACAACACATCCGTAACCTTGAATGGAAATACAAATGTAAGAAGACTCGAATTATTGTGATATTCTACTAATAAATGTAAAATATTCATGTAGGGAGCCACGCTGTTTTAAAGATTTCAGGTTCATTTGTTTGATGAATTTGGATATCTTGATTATGAGGTTCTGTATTTCTTTAGGTCGTTATTGAAGCTGTTGCCGGCAGTTCTTATACAGGAGATATCGCCATTGATAACATCAGTGTTGTTAAGAGAGCTTGTGGTTGTAAGTGACATTGTTTGTTGTATTTTATAAACAAAGTTTTAGAGTACATTTCTGCATACAAAATTCATACTCCTGATTTCAAAATCATCGAATAATGATTACTTTCTTTGCATACAGCTCAGCCAACGCCTCCTCCGCCATCTACACCTCCAACTCCTGCTACAACCACACCCATGCCGGTATCAAATAGCATGGACACGGACTTTCAGACTGATCTTGGAAACTGGAAACAAGATACGAGCGATAACTTTGACTGGACTTTGAGAAGTGGTAGCACACCCTCTTTAGCCACTGGACCCACTAATGGTCAAGGCGGTTCAGGTAAATATATTGCACAAAATGAATTTCGGTCCAACTCTCAAACAATTGTACATTTCATCTCTCTTAATAACACTAGGAAATTACGCTTACATCGAAACATCAAGCCCACGCAAGGAAGGTGACAAAGCTAGACTAGTCTTCAGAGGATCTTACAGTGGAGACATGTGCATGAACTTCTTCTACCACATGTATGGAGCAACTATCAATACACTGAGGGTCTTCAGTAACAACAAAGAAGTCTTTGCAAAGAATGGTACCCAAGGAAACGCCTGGAAAAAAGCAACCGTAACCTTGAATGGAAATACAAATGTAAGAAGACACGAATTATTGCGATATTCTACTTATAACTGTAAAATATTCACGTCAAGYTATTTAAAAGATTTTATTACATATGTTAGGTGAATTTGGATATCTTGATTATGAGCTTCTGTATTTTTTCAGGTCGTTATTGAAGCTGTGGCCGGAAGTTCTTATACAGGAGATATCGCCATTGATTCTATCACGAGTGTCAAGGGCGCATGTGGTTGTCCAAATGGTAGGGAGTTGGAGATCAGCATTTCTCCCTCGTTTGCTGCACTTTAAAATACTGTACTATTACACTTCACATGACTATTATAGAACCATTGTAAAATACCGTACTTAGCCACGAATCAATTTTCCTCCAGCTTCTAGATTTGAGAAAACTATCTTAATGTTCTTGAAACGCCAAATAATAAGCTTTGCATTTGGGTTGTTATTGCAGTTACACCATCACCTCCACTGCCTACAGTTCCACCAACAATACCTCCAGGTAAGCCGATGATGAAATGTTCTTTTGATCACATGAAGAACCTTATATAAAAGGGCCATAAATACATTTTAGATAAAAAACAAGCACCTTCGTCAGAAATATCCATTTCTATAAATCCTTTCACATTCCACAAGTATACAAAATTGTTTAAATCCATATTACATTGAGTGGATTGGCGATTTTGAACTCATTTCTTGCGACAAAACATATAGCAAATGCTTTTGAAATCTAATACAGCTTGTTCCTATTGCAAGGTATGACTACCGACTTCGAGAAAAATCTTGGTCTCTGGCAACAAGACCGAAACGACAAGTTTGACTGGACAAGGAGAAGTGGAGGTACACCATCATACAACACCGGGCCCAGTAGTGGCCAAGGCGGGTCAGGTAACTCGAATACATTTCTAATACATTTGAATATTACTCAACACGACACATGGCATGGGTGGTCTAGTGCCGGTTAAGCTGCTGGCCTCTCACCGCTGTGGTCCRGGTTCGATTCCCGGGAACGGACCATATGTGAGTTTGAGTTTGTTTGATGTGTTGTTCTCTCCCTTGCCACGAGGGTTTTTCTCCGTGTCCTCCGGTTTTCCTCCCTCAGTAAAAATCAACATGTGAGGAGTGTTGTGTGCTAAAATACTTAATGTAGAGGTAGTGAGTGTGAGAGTACAGGGTCCGCAGTAATYGACTCACGCTGTTGCGGTGTCCCTGCCCATACTAGGGGCAAAGCTAAATAAAAAAAAWTAAATCATGCTGCTTTTTAGGGCATGTATATAGCTATACTATCTGAAAGTTGTTCTACACTCTTTAATGATCTCAGCAACCAATCTCGCACAGTGTAAGAGGTTCTGTCATACAAATAACTCATGCGTTGAGTCCTCGAAAGATGACATGGCCGAGAAATCTACTGGAGAACTGTTGCACCCTTAAGCGTACCCAAATTTGGCATAAATATCACTTAATAGGGTAATCTTTCTCCGCTACAGGTTATTACGTGTATATCGAAACATCAAGTCCACGTGTGAATGGTGACAAAGCTAGMCTAGTCTTCAGAGGATCTTACAGTGGAGCCATGTGCATGACTTTCTACTATCACATGTATGGAGCAACTATCAACACACTGAGGGTCTTAAGTAATAACAACCTCGTCTTTACAAAGAATGGTCAACAAGGAAACTCTTGGAAAAAAGCATCCGTAACTTTGAATGGAAATAAAAATGTAAGTAGAGTTTGAATTTCACCATCATAGATCAATTTCATGAGCTTTTTTGATGCACAGAAAATCCATATGTTATATATGTTAAATCCAACAGTTAGAAATTCTGGGAAGTCCGATTCTTGTTGAATATATTCAGAACGTTGGTAACGACTGAATGTGTTTCTTGAAATGTTCAGGTTGTTATTGAGGCCGTCAGTGGTTCATCGTATACTGGAGACATCGCCATTGACTCTATCAGTGTTGCTTTGGGAAAATGTGCTGTATCGACACCACCACCTCCTCCCACAGGTTCTCCACCACCTCCAGGTAGGCAACATTTGCTTTGTTATTTGCGSAAATGTAAATCCTCAAAAGATGCAAATGGATCAATTGATCTTGTTTTTACATTGTATTATTCTTCTTTTAATAGGTTCATGCGGCAGGAAGCCCGCAATGTCTCGAATCGTTGGAGGAAAACCGGCTAAACCACATGATTGGCCATGGCAAGCAATGCTAACCACCACATCAGGGTTCGCGTTCTGTGGAGGTTCACTTGTGCACCCACAATACGTCGTTACAGCAACTCACTGTGTAACAGGAAAATCCCCTTCATCAATTCGTATCAAGTATGTACAATTACTAAACATYGAATAATCTACTCTAGGTTACATTCTTCTTTAATTCCTTTTGCTCCATCCATTCATACGCATTCATTCCATCTCAACCCACTTTCATTCATTCTCTATTGTTCATTTCCCTGTTATTCTTTCTTTCATTTGCTCGTTCTGCACTTTTATCTCATTCAATAACCCACATTATATTAACAGACTTGGAGCTCACTACAGAGTTAGTGGATCAACGGGAAAAGAACAGACTATCAATGTTGCCCAGATATTTACTCACCCTCAATACCACAAACCCAAGCGATACAGTAACGACATCGCGGTCCTTAAACTGGCTCGTCCTGCTGTCTTGAATAATGCTGTCGGAACCGTCTGTATGCCTGATAAAAGCATTCCTCTTCCTTTTGATGACCTGAACAAGAAATGTTTTATCACTGGATGGGGTACGCTAGCATCTGGAGGTTCTCGGCCAAACGCATTGATGCAAGCATCAGTTCCCCTTGTATCAAACAAACGATGCAATGCCCCAGCAGCATATGGTGGRAAGATTGGCGATTCCATGTTGTGTGCGGGATTAGATGCAGGTGGTGTTGACGCATGTCAAGGTGATTCTGGAGGACCGCTGGTCTGYGAGTTCAACGGGCGCTGGTACCTGGAGGGAGCAACCAGTTGGGGATACGGCTGTGCTCGTCCAAACAAGTACGGCGTCTACGCTCTWGTGCGATACAACTTGAACTGGGTTCAACAAAAAATCAATGGGGTTTGACTCAGGTAAATACTTGGTATATAAACGAAGTAGAGAGAGGAAAATGCTGAGCTTCTCTGAGGGTGGATAATATCATATTGCAATTGAACTTCAGAGGATTCTTCTGATGGAAGAGACAGCCGATCGGGTAACGTGATGTCCATGAAAGACATTTACAAGAGATTTATTTCTTTAGAGTTTCCTGAAATTGTTTTGGAGGGCTTGAAATTGTTGTGCAGTCAAGTGATAGTTTTTGAACTTAGAAGAACCAATTCCTTGTATTCAACAGGTCAAAGACCTCAAATGCAATTATATGCACCAGGAAAACGCCTTGGTTCACATSTTATAATGGTCTTCTTTTCTATCTTTCAGGACAAAGCCGTGAACATAACGGATAAAGTCAAAACACAGTTGTAGTAATAGAAGATAGAGTAGACTCATAATAAAGAGATTGCAACATCAAAAACGTGTTTGTCATTTATCATATTATTGATTGCTGTTTGGTACTTATGCCTTTATAGGTTCTTTTTGATGTATTGGGGTTCCTGTGTTTAATCTCTAAGCTTGAGATGAGCTTGAAAATTACACATTCTTGGCGAAATTAGACGTCCGACGACTGTTTGTATGGGAATGCGCATGCTCCTAACACTGCTTTTCAGCCTTAAGATGGAAAATTTAGATAAAGAGATATGGACTATTATTCACCGAAGTTCATACCCTTATTTGATCAGTTATAAACTATTTGACAGTTGTCTGGTTTAGGCCTATTATGCATAATCTCTGAACGTTGAAGTACTTCGCATTATACTATCAAGAACGGAAGACGCACCCACTTCACACAGAAGCAGCTGTTTTGGGAAAGTTTCTTGAAGTTAAAAGAAAAAGATGATWKATTTTTAGCTGGTTTTCTTATTGGGCATCATATTTACATGGGCCGTTTTAGAAATTTCTTCAACGCTGTGATTTTGACTTTAATAACTTTGACAAAATCAATAATTTATCAGGAAACACTTTGGATTCATAGAGATTCTAATAGCATCGTTGAGAGTCGAAGGCAATTTAAAAGTCAAATTGAGAGACGAATCGCCGATAAATGTCCACAAAGCTTCAACTCGTGTTTACACTGCAAATAACAACACAACAAATAGCCTTAGAACGCTGCAAATTAAATGCAAATCCCTTTTACACAACAAACTGAATTCCTAAATTACTGCGTAAAGAACACGAGACTTGAAAACTGAGATCRTTGATTTACGTAAAGGTAAATGATTGTGTCTTTTTTACCTACATTTAWATATGTTGACAGAGAAACAGAAATGTTAGAAACATAGTATCAGGGTTTTTAGGTCATAACGAATATAGGACTTATTCAGAAGGCATAACTGCAAAATTATCAATTCTTTGTGGCGCAAACACTATGTAATACAAAGTACAAATTCACAAGGTAATGTACTCAATTGCTTTTCACCAAGTTACTAACTTAAAAGCATAAATTTAACGGCGAAGCTTGATATCTTACAAGACATTAGATTGGGAGAATAATTGCGAAGAAAACCGAGATATGATATAACCGGGCTTTGAAAGAAGGCAGACAATGTTGACTATATCTCGTTTTATTTCTTATCATCTCTGCGGGACAGTGGAATTGAAAAATATCAAGGCGAAAACGTTACTGTAAAAGTTGCCATGGTGATAACAAATACTCGAGAGACTCAACAAGAAACGAATAAGAAACAGGTGGAATGCTCTGTTTTTTTATATAAATTCAGTTCTGTTTATTTTTCTGAATAAAAGTGACATTGTCAGAGTTTTCAAGCTAAAAAGAGCGGGAACTATAGTAAATAAATGAAGGGAACAAAAGGACAGTTAAAGACTTCGGACAAGTTAGTTACCAATGAACACTTTTCCTTGACAGTCTAGTACTTTAATGGTGGAAACCCCATATAAACCGGACCCGAGTATCTAAAACCGCAAATCCAAGGTAATAAATGTCGATTTCTTTTTTAAAACTAACTCCAATACTAACAAAACAGTTTGTYGATACCAGTCAAAACGTACTGGTGGTCAATATGCTTAAAATTTCTGAAATTAAGGACCGACTTTGTGATTTATGGTACAAGCCAAACATGAACAATCTAAAGCCAATAAAATTCTTRATTTTGTGAATTTGCAAGCCCTATAAAAGAGYCGTAAGTTGYCAATTACGCATGCTCAATATATGATATCTAAGCCTTTCCCACATGGCTTAGTGCATGATTAATTAACTCAATTAATTAAGTTTTAGGCACTTTAAAAGTGCCTTACGTTTCGTCTCGACATCATGTTAACTATGTTTAACTGATGTGACAGGTATTGGTATGGATCGCAAACATGTTGAGCAAATTCTGGACCGTATTCAAGTACAGAAGGGTGTAGTGGGACTAATTATTGTCAACCAGGATGGGTTACCAGTTCGATCGACACTTGACAATTCGACCACCTTGCAGTATGTTAATATGTGCAAATCTCTTTGTAATTTGGCTAAAGGTGAGTCATAATTATAAACAAGTTTGMACTTTATAAGAGATATAGAAATGAAAGAAAAAATGAAAGAAAATATTTGTTCTATCATAGTGCCATGCAGTCCTCATAGTATCTTTGCACTTKATAAGAAAGAAAGGGTGAAAATAGGATTGCAGGTCGAATGGTATTTTTAATTTTATCATAAACCTTAAAAATGTAAGTTTTAGTAACAATATTTTTAAGTTTGCACTTGATAAGAAAGAAAAAGATTGAAAATATTAAGATTGTAGTTTGAATGGCATTTATTTTTTAATTTTATCATAAAGCTTAAAAATGTAAGTTTTAGTATTAATATAATTTTTTTTATCTTTTAAGGAGTAATACGAGATACAGATCCTACCAATGATCTAACAATACTCAGGGTACGGACAAAGAAGAATGAGGTTATCATGGCACCTTCAAACAGACAGTATTTGATTGTCATACAGTCTGACAATCAAGTCAATCAAGGCCCTATTCCAAACATTCTAGACTAGAAACACTCTACAAACACTCTACTTTTTAGTTTATTTTTTTTTTGTACGTTTATAAAAAGTTAATATTTCACTAACTAAGGATAAAGTTACATGAATGAACAGTGTAGAGAAAGTCTTTTTGTACATATTCCCAAATTGGCATCRAAGAAGTTTAGTTTGTCTTTGAGCATAAAAAACAAGTGAAACTATAGACTCAATAACTCCTGCCCACAAACTTCTGATACAGTCAAATAAAAATCTGTTAATCTTTCTGTACAAAGTTCATATACTWATTTTTTGGAAATCAGACAACAATTTTACACATGTAATAATTTCTAGAAGGAAAAATACAAAAGAATAACTGAATTTTAGTGATTAGTGAAACACATTAGTTGTTAACTGTCTAGTTACAAGTATTTTGATTCTAAATAAGTTATTATAAGAGCTGTACATACATGTCTAAATAAAGATGTCTATTAATTGAGTTAGGAGTTATGATTCTCTAAGATTGATCTCTATTAAATAGTTGTACATGTTCATATTATAAGAGGATGATAGATGGACAAAAACATGTCTCTGAGGTTTTAKATAAGCCAAGAGTCTTTAAGCTCTCTTAAATAGCTCTACATACTGCAAGATTATGTCAGGAGGACCAAAAAGACCGGTATCTCTGTTTGAGGTTTTAGGAGGAGAAGGARCAGTGAAAGTACTTCCAAGAAAGCTAGCAGCCCATTCCATCATTAGATTCCAACACTGATCAACATCATCACAAGGAAGATACTCTAACTGAACAAAACAGAGACTTAGATTGGGATGAGGACAAAGACATTGGTAGTCTAGCGATAAAGCTATTTTAAGTATTATTTGTCAAAGAACAATCATATTAGTGTTGTATTGATGGTTTTCAGCCATTCCMATGAGAGTGAGCAAAACAAAAAGGTCCACCAGTCACGGTGGTGGTTTTCTTTTGTCAGGTCCACCAGCAATGGCGGACRTCTTTTGTTCAACTTTCTCTCCTGGGAATGGTTGAAAACCATCCATAACTCAGTACTGCTGAACATCAAGAAATTAATAGCGATTCCCATAGAACTGTTTTAATTATTGTTGAAATCACATAATATTTGAATTTTCAGCTAATAATCAGGCTAAACACTGCACATCTGTTATCAAAGCCTTACTATAATCACTTAAGACAACCTTAAAATTTAATTGGTGGSAACTAGCGGTAAACTAGTGTGAGCTGWGTCGGTGTTTCTAAAGAAACAGCTGTGTAAAAAGATAAATTTAACACCATAAAAAAATATGGTGAAATAACTTACTGACATTTCGGATGTTAATCCTTCATCAGAGTTTTAAGTCCCAAACGTCAGTAAGTTATTTCACCTACTTTTTAACGGTGTTAAATTTATCTTTTTACACAACTKCTAAAATTTAATTTCTAAACAAGCAGYAACTTACCTCTATAACAACACCTTTGACACTGGATCCAACAAGGATCTGTCCTATTTTTAATATAAAGTCTCCATATTGGTACCTTGTTCCTTTTACCTGTGTAATAAATAGTAAAAATGATAAATAGACCTAATGAAACCATATTTGAGCAATTTTGTGCAAACAACAATAAAGAATGGAGTGATATTAAKGGTACATCGGGTCTTGCAGTTAAGATAACTTCACCTCTATTTTKGAGGCTTTTCTTGGAATATAAAAGGCTTTCATTCTAGCCATTAATGAGTCAAACCCAGTATCAGCCACAAGACATGTGCCACTGTCTAGAACAGCAAATGATGAGTACGGAAACTCTGTGTTATGCAGAATRTGGATAATTTTGGTTGAAGATTGTACTGAAACAAAAAAGCATCATTGTTAATTTTTCATACTTTATTTTATAAAACACTTCTGTAGCAATGGCAACATGATAATTACATGTGAAGTCAATAGTTCAAGTTCTTGTTAAATCACAAGACTCATCTCAATTGCAACTTTTTTTGCATAAAGTTTGTTCTTAAGAAATTGAATATCAATGAATGTGAAAAATATTAAAAAATGACTGAAAGAATTAATAAATGCCTGACTGAATGGAAATAAAAGATTAAAAAACAAAAAAAGAATGATCAATATCAATTTCCTACCGTGACTTTGATATGTTTCGCAGTCAATCGACCAATTWCCAGTTTTACGAGCACCAAGTAACTCAGCTCGTTTCTGCAACTGTTCCACTGTTTGTTGGCCACTCTTCCCTTCTGGTATCTCCCAGGGGAAAACTCTGAGAACATAAGCTTTATTAAATGACACGCGCTTCAACAACTCCTCAAATTACAAGAAATGATGAAAATGCACAGAAACTGAAACACYCTAAGATGTTCAAAATAATTCTTTAATGCAAACAAACCTTGTAACTCCCATAGCAATCTCTTTGAGCTTTTTTTTTGTGTCTGTCAACTGAAAACGTCTTCTTCGTCCGCCATCTTGATTGATACTAAACGAGATGGCATGAGAACTAGCGTAGAGATTTATGGATATTACACAGGGAACCCGCCATACATTTTACATTTTTGTTCAAATCGACGCGTACATTTTCGCATTAAGCAAAGGAGAATAACTAAAGGCTAACATGGATTTATTGTRGATTTGGGAGACGCAAGATTTTGATTTTTTTCGTATAATTATTTTTTTGCGGTCGTGCTTTCATACGAAATTAGATAATTTTTTCCCYTTTTCAGCCTTCAAACCAGCAAAACAGTCTTTCAACATCGTTAATTGGTTATAATTGTGATCATGTGCAAGGGGCCCACTTTGAAGTCAAAACACTGACTGSGCCCACTTTACTTGCAAGTCTAAGTATACCCTTTAAAGAACGGAAATCCATCTTTCCACTTCACACCACATAGTGCCGACCAAGACATGATGTCTAAGAGCAGTTATTCAGTCAAGACAGTATTTTATCACAACTAAAACTTAAGTCTTCTACCTTGAAAATCTCATCAAAAGGAAGACATCCTCTGTCGTGCTGATTTTGTTTCTACTCCTTGAGACTAATAACCCATTGATCGTTTAATCTGTAGGTAGCCGAACAAAGGCTGCGTCTATGTGACAAGTTTTTTGTTGACGTGGATTCGCTGGCGGACAATTGAAAACCATGCCGTGTTTGCTCTGATGACAAACATTGGCAACCATGTTTGACCACTGAGTTTATAACCATAAAGCCAAAAACAAGGTGTGAGTTTGTGATTTATTGAAGAGGACGGTGTGATTATAAATTCACTTAAATGAAGTATGAAATAGTACACAAATCTTTTTTGTACATTGAAYAAAAAATGAAAATTACAGTAATTGTTGGTAAGGCGGAATACCAAAGTAATGCTAACGCTTTGGTCAGTATTACCCAGTATTTAAGTCATTATACTCAGTCTCTAACACACCCTATTTTGAAAAAAGAGAAATTGTCAAACTGTCGTAGATCATTAAGTTACGCACTGTACAAAGGGTTGTGTGGCGTTGCGGACAGCTGTAAATAGACTATGCAAATTTGCGTCAAAAATAAAGCAGTTTTATTTGCATTTTCCAGAAACGCTTAGCTTACTATCAATCTCAGATCTTGCCCACAAAAAGCGGTTTTCCTATTCCTTATGGTCATATTTCACTTTTTTTTAAGGTTTATATTCCACCCAGGGTGCCATATTATCGTTTAACATGATATAGTTAGTGGTGAATTCAGGTGTTCGAATAGAAAGACACAAATATGATGACTATATTTGAATACAAGTTTCTCTTTCAAATGATAATTTTAGATAAAAAGTAGTCTTGAAGCAGGTATATTGTGATAGACAGTTGCTATGGCGACAAAAACCATATTGAAAAGCGGTCGTGTGTCTTTAGAAGGACTGTTTCCGTCATTAGCTCAGCGTTGTGTAGATGATGGCAAGCGCAAAAGCAAGGCGTATTTCAAAAGCTAGGAAATTTCTTCAAGGCGAAGAAGTTCATCTGATTTTGAACGAAGAGAATTCCCTTAAAAACCTCCTTTCTACTTTCCCTATCGATGATGATTTGAAGAAGAAGATTTCCAAGGATCCCAACTCTATTCAAGCGTTGAAATCATTGGATGAGTATAGCAAGGGAGTGTGTCAGATAATTGTAACGTCGCCTGACTCAAACCACTCGCATTGTGGCAATGGATTTTTCATCGGCGATGGATGGGTTCTTACCACTGCAAACATCGTACGCAACCGAAATCAAGTCAATCACGCAAGGTTTACGTTCACCTCTAATGAYGAAACGTTCACTTTTGAAGCAAGAGAACGTAGAGCGTTCGTCTACCGCACGTTACAACCAGGTCGACGACCGGACTATCACAATCGAGACATAACCCTCATCAAACTGGGTGTGCAGTTTTCATTCAGACAAGATGTTGCTCCGTGGGAGAGAGACGAACAAGCTCTGTTAGCTGCCCATCCGCCATTCAGCTTTCAAAACCTCAGCAAACAAGGTTTTCTTCCACCTTCAAGTAGCAATTCTGTGCAAAGTGATGACACCTTGTGCACTGTGTACCATGGAGAACATGACAAGCACTTTCATGTAGGTTTTCAAGCTTCACAACCTTACAAAGTTTTTGAACCAGCTGGAGTACTAGTCTATGAGTTTTATGGAGGGTTCAATGCCGAGGCGTCTGGATGTCCAGTTTTTGTGTTCAAAAATGGCCAGTGTTTCTTTCTTGGTGTTTTTGTTCCTGGTCCGTCAAGCAAGTCAACGGGCTGCAAGGCCTTCACGTATAATGGTCAGGCTCTCGTGTGGGATGAGGAGTTTCTTACTCACATCAGTGCTGGGATAAAAGCAGTTGACAAGATGTCGAATATTAAGTCGTATAGTTTAGCGATTCCCTTTGATGAAAGAAAGAAATTGCTTAATGAACGAACTGTTTACCAGGCTGCAGAGCTTGCTCTTAATCATCGTGTACTAATCCTTTAGGAAGCAACCCTGATGAAAACTAAACATTTCATTATTCTTTGACAGAAAAACTGTTTAGTTTCTTCGCAAGTGTGGGACAAATGAAATGAAATGAGAAAACAAGGACTGATTCCCAAATAAATGAGCCATTCAGTACAAGGACATTAAATGAAGACATTATATACAATCTGTCCGATGGAAATTCTATTCTCAGGTCTGTTGTTTTATATTTGTTGTACAATAACAAAGATGTGATGAACATTAATTTCAGATTATATCATATAATARCAATAAAAGTCTATGAGAAACATGACTCTATAAGCTGATTTATTCCCAAATCCAATAAGTGCCACGGCGCGTTTTGTTTTTGTTTTCAACAAACCCCAGCTATCACAGTTGCTTTGGTTATAGGGTAATCGTATCTCAAACAATCCCGTATCACTCCTTTATTAAATATTAATAATTTCTAAACTCATTATACTCGATGTTTATAAAGCTCGTTTTCACTATAAAACCCAAAAGCATTAAGAACGGAAATAAAGCGAGTATAAGTAAAACCCACAACATTTTAATTTGGGTTTTAAAAACGTTCTCAAGCACTCCTTTCATGAGATTTTTGATTAAATATAAAGTAAATCTGTTGGTAAAATATTCGGTTAACCGCAATGTGACTTGAATGAGAATAACAACCAAGGCTGAGATGCTTTGAAATTCAAGCAGAGCTAATATGAATAGTGAATAGTTTKAAGCTTATTGAACTTCAGTTTTATTTTACTAATAGTGTTTGCTGGGGAAGCTGACTTCTTATTACACATTGAAAACCACAACGTAGAATATTCAAGTCAATTCAAAACGTCGCTTAAAACAATTACAATATTGTCACTTCTTTTATTAAAACACGACACCAACGCTGACCGTAATGTTATTATAAACGCAGACAGACAACCTGCTAAATGGTACAACAACATGTACACTCTTAGGATTGAAGTCTATTTGAAGAGTAAATTGTACTTTTAATTCTCGAGTAATTATTTATTTTTTTGTACATTGTACAAAGTCGTCGCTTTCACACTAGCGGTATATTTAACTGATAATCCCAACAAACCGTTTTTCGTGTTTTTCTCTACAGAACCTACTCAGCTATTTAGAATTTTACAAATAAAACAAAGAAATAATTTGAGTGATTATTTTGGCGGTGGACTCGTGATGAAGAAGAAAGCGAGAAAAATAATAGAAAAACAAATCGAGAAAAATAGATTTCCCACCATGCTTTGTCCAAGTTAATGACATCACAGCGAATTTATTACGTCACTAAAGATGCGCGCGCATTGAAATACGACGTCATCACGATGCAAAGCCTGCACACTTCGTAAGTATGTAGAGTATTTCTTTTGCATGAAACAGAAGATAGTGCTTGCATTGTTTATTTGGCAGTGCTGTACTTCAAGCTGCATATATGGCCATCAYAACGGTGAGTGAACATTGAATACAAATAGCAATCGACCAACCAACTGATCGTATGCATTTCAGACAATGGCGGCGAGTRCAACACTGCTCCTTGTCAAAATGGTGGAAGTTGCATCGATCTTGTCAACGGTTACAAATGCTTGTGCGAAGATAATTGGACTGGATCAAATTGTGAAACAAGTAAATAGTTTCGAATGTCTTTTTTTTACAGTTTTTTTTTACGTCAAACTCCAATCATGTTCCAACATAAGATAGTTTTTTTCCTTTAATGATATTTTTTGCTGTTGTAGTCATGTTGTATCAATGTCGCAGTAATTTATCATTATCGATCTTCTTTCTTGTTAGTCGAACCAATAATGATATYAAATTGTCCTCGATCGCTGTTTGGTGTGGCTTATGCTAATCAGACAGCGTCAATCATGTGGACTCCTCCAACCGCCACTGATGGCTGGAATGCAATAACAAACGTCAAGATTACACCATCAGAGATTATTAAACCGCCACATAAGTTTCCTCTTGGCCAGCACCTGGTCCGGTACACCTTTTCTAGCGATTCACACGTCAAAAGATGCTCTTTCCATGTGGTTGTCATGGGTAAGTCTCTTAAGATCACTGATGATGAGTGATTTTTCGGCAACGCATGCGCAGACTAGAATAAATAACATCATTTGGAAGAAACAGTTGTGTAAAGAAGATAAGTTTAACACCGTAAAAAAGTATGGGAAATAACTTACTGACGTTTCGGATGTTAATCCTTCGTCGGAGTAAAGAGCAAACTTATCTTCTTTACACAACTGTTTCTTTAGAAACACCGACGCAGCTCACACTAGTTTACCGCTAGCTCCCACCATCATTTGGAAGAGTTGCTGGATTTACTATAACCGAATAGTTTAGACATCACACATGAGTCAGGGTACACTTGTATCTATTTTTTATATAATCACCGTTGCCTTCGTCACATTCAGACGAACTACGGTAAATAAGTCCTTCACAATAAAAAACTCAAGTTGATTTCCAAATCAAGTCTCGGTTTTTCTATTTTTGCCCACAGAAAAAGTTCAAATTATCCAAAATCCTCCAAAGCAAGTATTCATTCGTCCAGGGAAGATGTTTCACTTTCACTGTCAAGCTACGTCATCTCGTCCTATTCGCTACTTGTGGACTAAAAACGATAACGAACTAAAGAGTTCAGATCGAATTCAATGGTCTTTAGATATCCCTGGTCTTGTGATTAAAGACATCGTGGAAGAAGACAGTGGAAAGTACACGTGTGATGCTTTTGCAAGCGGAAAAGAAAGTCCAGTAGAAGCTTCTATAGTCAGCACTTTGTTTCGAGTTAACAGTGAGTTTCACTGATGCGCATTTGTAGCGTTTATATGAGCCACTCTCAGACTTCTAGGAAATCGTAAACAATAGAAAACGCTTCAAAAACGCATCATTTAATCGGTAAAGAAGAAATGTCTGATACATCCACCTATAGTTTGTGAATTCTGCATTGTGTTTTAGGCGATATTAACTGGTCTTCTTGGGATGACTGGGGCCCATGTGATTGTAAAAAAAGAAAACGAACAAGATTTAGGACTTGTGTGACACCAAAAGGTGACAAAGCCATAGGCTGCGACGGTCGAAGAAAGATGGTTGAAAATTGCGCACGTGCCTGCAAAGTTGGCTCTTCAAGTGTTTCGTCAAAGCGTCACAAGAATCTCTCTAAAGCAATCAAAGTAGCGTTTCAACGCAAGGTGGAACAAGAGCCTGCTGAAAAAAGAACTGTCAACAAGTTTTTAGACACTTTTTACGGAAAGCTGGCTTTGTGGAGCTCAGTTGCTATTATTGGCGTTGCTTTTTGCTGTGCGGGTTTTCTTGCATTGTAAGTTTTTCGTAAACTACACGAGTAGTCGCTACGGGTGCGCACTTTACTCATATTATTCGAGGTCATTCCAGCACCTATCGAACATCGCTGTGAGATTAAGCTTAATCTTTTTGATTGTGATATATTGATGCTTTTCTAGAGGTTTCGTCCACGAAAAAAAGGCGAAGACAAAAGACAAAAATAAAAGAGAAAAGCTTGCAGATCTGGAAAAGTCCAATTTATATGAAACATCCAGTCAAAGTGATGCGGAAGCTATCTATGATGTCGAAGAAGAAATTGACCGAAAAGCTTATGAAAAGAGACGAGTTATACACGAACTAACCCCAAAGAAACGCGATCGTAAAGAGATGGGTGATGACTTACAGCTTGCACGATCAGTTATTCTAGAAGAAGGGATCGATAAAGAACACGAAAACGCTGTAGCTGCAAAGAGGAAAGAAATCATTAGGAGAACATCTACCGATGCTTGCAAGGTAACTGCATTTTTACCGCGCGCAAAACTCTTCATACACCTCTTTCAGTTTATATGAATGAAAATCTCTTTCTAACAGATGATACTGGTTTGAAGTCATCACTGGAAAAAAATCGCGCACATCAAATTTRCAACCTTTAAAGTGCGCGATTTTTTCCAGTGCACATATGCATAGGGAGCGTTTATAGCCGGTTACTTGCCGTTAATTAATCAAATATACGTGTGTCTATCTGACAGGGATCTTTGTTGGAGAGTATTAATCGTAGCAGGGCGGTTATCATGGCCAAATCGGGTGACAAYACTGAGATGAACGATAAAAGTCMTAAAATGGACGACACTGAGGACGACACTGAAAACCTCGTTATGGTGCAAGCTGTCGTTACCCATGATGTCAAGGAGGCTCACATTAAACAGGTTGACGACTGGGTTCCGTCACATGATAACTGATTTATCTTGATTGTGGCTATGGATGTAAGATTCAGTCTAACGAGGCCGTCCTCATCTACTTTACAAAGACAAACGGCACATTATGGAAGAATATGGAAAAATACAACAATAAACCAACTTGACTTCCACAAACACCGTGAACTAACGTACTGATATGTGATATGGAATTATAGTCTGGAATAAAGAGCTATTTTATTGACTCTTGTGTTGTTTCAAAAAAAGCTATAAATCGTTACTATTAGGAACTTGACCCATGATTCGTTTAATCGATTGCATTGTTGTGTTGCTTTTTTTCATAGTGGAAATATCATCTTATGTACTAAAGTTCAAATAGAGCTATATTAACTACTTGTCAGAAGTGTTTTCCATGACGTCATTTATTAGATTGACGTCATAATACTTCAGTTGGCGTGACGTCAGAATCTACCAGTAGTTGCGAGATGAACTGGAGTAAAGCATGAAATGTTGTTCAATTTTCGCATTTTTTTTGCTGATTTTTTGTTACAAAAGTCCAAGAATATCTGCACAACATATTGATGTCGGTAAGTCAATTATCACTACTCCAGTCAAATATCCTRCAACTCGAGGAAAAAGTACGGGTGATTAAAATCTATCACGTGAACAACGCAAAAATAGCTTTCAATGGCAATTTGCGCGCGAAAAAAACGCGCTCACGTTTTTAACAATGCGCGTCATCCCATTTGAAATCTGGAACGTGGGATTGTGGGAGCAGAGCCGAAGCACCGCTTTTTAAATCGGATTATTATTATTTCAGATGCATACCCGAAGATATCTTACTTTCCAGAAAGCGAGATAGTTATTCATGGCGATGAAAAGAGAACCGCTACTCTTCAAATATCATGTCAAGCTACAGGACAACAGCCACTTAGATACAAATGGCTTCTCTCAAACAAGAACAGCGCGTTTAAGACCAAAGAATATGTAACGGGCGATAARGGGGACTTATTGKTACAAATACCGTTGTATAAAGATCCTTATCAAGCTGTTTGTGTCGTTAGTAACAAATATGGTACTGTATTTAGTAACCCAAGGCAGGTTGAGATTGCAGGTAAGACACCTCTCCTAGAAGATCGATTGAAAATGTGACGATAATGATTAATTGATTACAGCTGTTACCAGTCCCTTCAAAGCCGGACCTCTAACCAGAATAGCCAAACTGTATTACTCTTTCGGCCACCCCCTGATTGTTCCCTGTCCTCCTCATGAGGTGCACTTAGCTGCTGATTATTCCTGGGGGACGTATCAACAAGATATATTCTACCCTCTCAAAGAATCCAAGCAYTGGGGTAAGTTGGGTGTGATTTTCAGCATTTGACACGCAAGGTCGTCTCGTTACAGGGTGAGGTTTGGGTAACGAGGTCACTATYATTGTTTTGCTTTTAGGTATAACATCAAAAGGCTCTTTGGTGTTCACCTTTATCAAGAAAACTGATGTTCGCCAAATTCTCCACTGTAAAGTGTCAGTAGGCCCTACTCATCTTGTCTCAAGAGGTTATGGGTTCTCTTCTGCCAGATCGAGTAAGTCAAAACTTATATCGTCTAGATCGTAACGATTATACCTTTACGCGACGTAAGTCGATTCGACTGCTATTGTTTGATAACAGAGCATTTTTATTAGCGACTGGAAACTTGTTTCGTGCTAAAAAGTGCGTTAAGGCTAGTAAAGATACGTTGAAGTCAACGAAAAAGAAAAATATGAAGTAGAGCATGTTTACTTTCGTCAAATGAATAGTTCTATCAGAATAGTGCTTTCTATTTGTGAAAAGTGGTCACTGACATGTACTCAAGGCAAGGATATGAAAATATGTCACGAAATTCGAGTCAAGCATGTTTTTAATGTTGTTTTATAACAGAGACCCAGTATGGCAGTGTGTTTGCACTTCCAGCAGCTCTAGTAGAGAAACCACAGGCTTATGAAATGGCCAGAAGAGGAAGTACCAAGACAATGAGATGCATACCCACTGGGAAGTAAGACTGATTATAGAGTATTTCAGACTAATATGCAGTAGGGTGTGATARCCATACATTAAACATTAAAAATCTGCATCCGTTTCAGTCCAGATCCAAGCATTGTATGGTTCAAAGATGGCAGTTTGATTGTCAGCGGCCAAAATGACATAAAACTAGAATCTTTTAACAGAGTCTTAGTGATTACYAATGTCAATGAAAAGAAACATAAAGGAAAATATCAATGTGGTTATGGAACTTCTACGTATCGAATGCTTGCAACTACACACCTTCATATCACAGGTAGGGGTGGGGGTTGATTGGGTTATTTCTCAGGTGAGGGGGGAGGGGAGGATGTGGAGATGTGTTTATATTTCAGTGTATTACAATAAGTACTGGGTTTGGACAACAGCAACTTTTCACTGCATAAGCAACTTCAATCTAGTAAGTAGCCGCATACCTCTTCCTGAAATACCAGACAGAATGATAATAATACCAATCTCTGTTATATCTTTGTTAGACTATGAACATTTTAATCACATGTAATCATGTACAAATGGTATTATAATACACAAAAAGCTTCAATTATCAATAATCAATATATTATATTTTTTGCATAAATTGCTTTAAATTGTTTTGCTATGAAAACATCAATATAACTGAAATAACTTACAAACATGAAAAGGGATGAAGTTCTTGTACGTACAATGTGGATGTTTTTGTGGATCTTTGAGTCTTGCTTGATCTACCTGATCACTTTCTAACTATTAACTGCTTYTTGTTGCCCTGGAAAYAAAACAAACAGAAATCAACRACAGTCATCAATCATCATGTCGTCATGATATCTCTTCATTCCATAATGTCATCAATGACTAGACCATATTTTTCTCAATACCTACCCCCAACTTCTTGATTTCTGTTTTAAGGCCCATATTTACAGCACTGSTTTCCACAAATTTCATCTCAGCTTCTGTCAGTGAAGATGGTAATACCATTTCCTTCATGACTGGATTATTAACAAACTCATTTAACTGYRTTGTCAATTCCTGGATATCTTTGGATATGATGGYATCAGTGTTAGAAGCTTCAGTGTKTTTGTCATCTACTTTGTCAGRYRTACTTAAGTATTTGCGCATCATCGCTTGGCAGTTTTCTTTCTCCAGTTGTTTAAAGCTCTCCACATTTCTGTTTAGTTCTATCATTCCTTTCTTGATGTCTGGGTTGTTTGGTTCTCGACGCAARGCTTTGACAAAAAACTCTCTTGCWCGATCAAACTCACTTTCTTTCATATATGCTTTGCCCATTCTAAACAAAGCTTTTACATTCTTAGGATCAACATACAACACCTTTCTGGCRTACTTGATAGCTCTGGCTGACTGGCCTAGCTCTAATGCACACTGCGTCATGTTACTGTACAATTTCAGCAGTATTGCATTCATCTCTTTCTCTTCCTTCTCATCCTGTAATGAACAYTCCTCTAAYAGCTTTATTGCTTTCATGTATTTACTTATTGCTTGAGAAACCTGCTTTCTTTTATAAAGATCATTTCCAACCTCCTTATGRCCGCTGGCTATTGTAAGAAGGTGCTGAAAAGATGCTTTTCTTTTGTCTCCTCTTGGCATTTCATTGATGTCTTCAAGCACGCCATGATCAACAAACCCAAGCAGCTCTATTTCCCATAATACAGTGCCACCAGGAACTCTAGGTTCGCACCCAAGATCTTTGAAGACATATTCTTTCTTGAAGAGGAATTTGGCCAGCTCTCCCTTCCTCATGGTCGAGAGAGCAATGTCTAGGCCAGGAAATGCCCCTCCACCAAGCCTTGCAGACTCTGGTTTACCTCTAAACCTTGATGAATCATACGGCTCATCACCAAACTCACGATAAGCATTGTAATGAAACCTTAACGTGGCTGTTCTAGGCACTACTGGACCCACACCAGGACGAAGAATCTTTTTTAGAACACCTTTATCTTGGATTTGAGTAATGTCCTCCATGTCCTTAGCAACGTGCTCAAACGGTTGATCTGCAGCACTGTTATCATCGTCGTTATCATTACCTAACGGCTCGTTATTCAAAATCTGGAACATTTCTTCTGAATCAAAGTAATTTTTCCCGGCATCTTCATCGTCGCTATCGCGGGGAGGACCATTTTCATCAACTTCAAACTCCACTCCTTCGCCAGTTGCCAAGTCTGTGAGGTTTACACTCTCCTTCAAGCTCGAAGCATACCTCTGAGGCATATAAGAAGACTTATCTGACAGAATAAGCTTTTCATTAATGTCTAAATCATCTACATCAGCCATTATGATAGGAAAATCTTATAAGAACTATCGACAAACTCCACAAATAAGCCGCACGTGTGCTGAATGATATCCCACAATGCACAGCAATATTGACATCGACACAGGAAACCCGTGATATAAAAATTTATTTTTTATTTTTTAATTAGATAATTAAATGGTGATGACTTAACATTTCTGTCCAAGGTTCACCTGTTATAACTAAACGACCGCCAGAGACTTTAACCATTGAAGGAAAACAGCAGTTTACCCTGGARTGCCGTGCMAAGCAAATGTTCTCAGCCTCTCAGGAGRAGTTGTACTATGAATGGTACAAAAACTCAAAACCAATCGACAATTCCAGGTAAGCTGYCRAAGATTACTGGTACTTAATGGWATTCATTAAATATTGAATTGGTAATTAAATATTGGTAATTTAACTCTGAATATTATTGTGACGTCATAGAAGAAAAACTAAGGGTTCAGACGATTTAGCTGTGCTTATAATTGTTTTATAATGTATTTAGTCATCAATTGCATGCGACATTATCTCRTTACAGGAATWACACTATWRTYCGCAAGAATGTTTTAACTGTTCTGAACGCAATGTCAGTGGACAGCGGTGTATACCAGTGTATTGCTTTTGATTTTCAAGGAAGTACAACTACGTCAACACGAGTACATGTCAAAGGTAAAAACAGGCAGTCGAGAACTGCATATGACTAACTTCCAATACACTATCTTCAGTATACAACGTTTTCTGAATTATCTGTATACGCTGCAAGAGAATGGACATGGCTAATAAATACACAAGAGACGGTGATTCCCAGGGGCCAACGGAACCTATTGTGATAGTTGATGATTCCCGCCGTCCCGTKGGGGCCTGACGCACGGCGCCATGTCCCTGCCTACRGTAAACATATCCATCTGAAAGATTTGGAAAAGGGATTTTTATCACGGCATTGATTCCTTAGAGCTTTAATTTATAGCTCTATAGTCAAAGACATCTTTCTGTATCTGTGTTGACTCATAATAGTCATGATCAAATTCTCGAACAGCGTCGATAAAATGTTTATATCATTCACTATATTTACATTTRATAATTATTAAATAATTAATTTTAACCCATTTTTTGCATATTACTCGAAATAGAAAAGATGACTAATTTGTTTTCAACCATTCCAAAATTTTGTGCAATAGTTTGAAGTTAATGATGATGTCTACCGCTTTTTTGGATCTCATCAATTTTTTGAGATATTTGGCAAAAGGGCCGAATTTCGATAAAATGCGTTAACGGAGCTAAATATTATGCCAAACAAAACTTTGATCACTGCTTTATTACTTGTCCAAACACCAAATAAATCGGTGCATGGCAAGAATTTCAAGAAAAGCGAATTTAAAAGAAGAGGTATGTTAGAAAAAATAGCTATAGGAAGCCACCACGACAATGTGGAACAGTGTTAAGCAAAAATGTGGAACGTTCGAGTATAATGTTGGAGTTTCAGAGACCCGGCAAATCTTTGGCAACAGCTAAGTACATGTATCTGCTAGCCTGCCTTGCGGCTGCCTTCTGGTCTGTAAACCACTTACGTTAAGAATTTCAAGAAWTKTTTTTCGTGGTGTTCATCCGAATACTAGTAATGTCCGTCTGATATAAGAACTGTACACCTTTTCCTGTGATRATTTGGAAAACAATAACAACAATTGAACAGCTCGACGACGTCATAGTCCATCGAGCACATCGGCGGTATTCGGCCGCAAATCGGCACTCGGTACCCACCCCACCCCCATCAAATAATAAATCCACTGAAGAATGATTATGCAAACCCTGTATTATTTGCTTATTCCTGAGCTGAGCTCTGATTGGCTCGCTGATCCCTAAGGATTTTGGTGACGTCATATATTAGCATAGAACTTCACCGAATAGACTACCCCAATTAGATATTAGATATCTTAAGTGTCTTCATAGTACGATGGTCTAAGAGGGTAGCTAAAGGTATGCTCTAGTGGGCGGCTACCCCCTCACTCCCTGGCCTTTTGGTTAAGACTAAGTTTTATGTTCACTCGGGATAGCGTGGAAGGGCCGAAATCTCTAACCGTAACGTAAGCCGATTCGCCGCCTCAGCTTCATAGAATGTCTCGGGGGAATCGTCCCATCTTTTTGGCTTTTTTATTTTCATTATTTCTTATGTATTCCGGGGGGTACGTCTTTGCCTGAATTGAAAGTCCTGAGTTCGAATCCTGCTGCTGGAATTTCTCTTTTTTTTCTTGTTTATTGTTTCTTCTTTTTTTTTTCCTCTTTTCTTTTCTTTTCTTCTTTCTTTTTTTTTCTTTTTCTTTTGTTCTTTTCTCTTTGCTGTTTTTTTTTTTTCGTCTAATAGTTTTTCTCTTTTCAACTTAAACATATCAAGGACTCGCAAGGAACGCCTGCTACAAGTGGATGGGTACGGTTCGRTCACTAAACACGATGACGGGAGGCYCCATAAGACCTTTCGTCACAAAAATCAACCAAAAATCAAAGCACCGATTTATATATGTACAGGCGATCATCATGAATAATTCCTACTGTACATTGTATTGTATTTGACACAAGTGTATTAACAGTTCTTAAAACTAACTAAATCATTTTTGCTGTGTCATTTTCTCACAGAAACGTACTGTACATTGTCCACGCATAGTATTTGACAAAGTGCATTGACAGTTCTTAAAACTATCTAATCCTTTTTGTCATTTTCTCACAGAAAAGATGTGCCCTGCTATTCCTGCTCCTCTAAATTCCAAGTTCAGTGAGCGTTCCTGTCACACCTTTTCAATGTTTAATAGCGGCGCTACATGCACGGTATTGTGTGACAGAGGTTTCTTTGGAAAAGGACGCAGGAATTACCGCAAATGCTTGGAAGATGGTGGATGGTCAGTCATGCAATACGTCTGCGAAGGTGCGTACACTAAGTCTTCCAAGATCAAAATATAAGTCTTGGATCATAAAATATAACACAATATTATATAATACCATGTTAATTGATCACTTTGTAGATCACGTTCCACCAAAACTCAGGGACGGCTGCCCTAACGATATTATCATAGCAACGGATATCAACAATAGCACTGGAGCCCAAGTAACTTGGCAACCACCAACCGCTGAGGATAATAGCGGGAAACTAGTAACGMAAATTGAACCGAAAGGCATCAAGGGTAATAGTCATTGGTTTCSGGTTGGWGATCACGTGATCAAGTACAGGTTCATTGACTTTAGTGGTCAAGATGTGTCATGTGACTTTACAATTAGAGTATTCAGTAAGTACCGTATTTGTCAGATTAGGATTCGATTGGAATTATGGGTTGAATTATGGTCAGGTTACAACCTCATACCTCATAGGGTACGAGGTTGGTCAGGTTAGAGTCAGATTAGTTAGATACTCAGGTCCAGAAACGCATTATGTTTTTCCTCTTGGCTCCTTTTGATGCACCTTCGATTTTAGTAGCCAGCGGTCGATCGAAACAGACTGCGTAACCATTGTGGAGATCCCCAGCAGTGTCTGCCTTCTCTTGCTTCGACCCAATTTGTCAATTTGTGTTCTTACCACATAAATCGTACTCGCATAACGGTATACTTCTATCTTTTTACCTTCTCACAGCACGAACTACAATTATATCTAAGCCACCAAGTCTCATTCATATCCTGRAGGGACGAACGCTCAAACTATCATGCTTTGCGGTCTCATACCCAATGAAACCATATTACACATGGAAAAAGAGTTCGTTCTCAAATGTCAACAACGTTGTCACCATCAAGGGGGATTCCCCTCAATTTCAACTGATAAATAGCGGAGAGACACTAGTTATGGTTAATGTAACCGATGATTATAACGGTAAATACATGTGTGAGGCGGTCAATACCTATTATTATGCACCAGGGACACGTGACACCGTCGTACTGTCCATTAAAGTCGTGCAAGGTAAGATGCACTTGTAGTTATAAGATAACTATGGCCTGCTAGATGATTTCATGCTACCTTGGATTATAAAATTGTGAAGTAAGTTCACCAATACATACTATTCTTATATCAATGTTTCAAGATGTTCAGTGGTCTCTATGGCAACCCTGGTCACTTTGTGACGTCAAAAAGTGCGGCAAAGGAGTACGSATTCGTAAAAGGACATGCTATGTAAGARGAACTTYTCGTYCAGCAATGGGATGTGAAGGCCCCGATACCGAGAGRAAAACATGTCACGTGCATTGCCCAACARCAACCCCTCCCCCTCTAAGTACTACATCCASCCCACTCTCTGTTTCAAAGGATAACATTGCGAATCTGGAAGAGGCGCATATCATTAAACACGTGGTTGGAAAGTAYGARAYCAAAGCACGTGGATGGTTGAAACAGCGTTCTCCTTGGTTGGACACTTGGTTGGACACCACGGAGGGTAGGGTAGGGTTTGCATTGTCT